ACTCAGCAAGGCAAAATGCCTTACTGTTTTAAAAGATTCGTTTCAGTAAATGTCTCTCTGACTCACTTCTCGCTGACTTCTCGGATGCGCAGGATGTTGGAGAAGAGTGTCTTTTTGTCTCGGTTAATAAGATTCTCGCTGAGTTCTCGCGACTCCATAAAATGGTCGGTCAGGACGCGCAGGGAACGCAAGTACGACACTTCTGATGTCAAAACCTCGAACATGCTCTGGACACAAACACAAAAGCAGGTCATGGTTATCCATCCACACGTCCTGTGTGTTTAAAATCATACAGCAGGGTTAGGAAAGGTTAGATCCCAACCTTCTGTCACCGGAACCGCTTTAACTTAAATTATGGGCTTTAAATAACCCCTGTGAATCACCATTCACTGATACTCCAGAAAGCAACAAGATGCATTAAGAGCCAGGGGGGTGTAAACTTTTGAACAGGATGATCGGTGTAAATTATTATTTTGTTTAATAAAGATGTTATTTTTTTCAGAAGCTACATAAGATCTTTTCATGGTTCCCAGAAGACAAAATACTAGCAATTTACACTGGTCATCCTGCTTAAAAGTTTACCCCCCTCACATATGTTATGTGAAATAGTTTATTCAGGGCAGGACTAAATATAAAAACTAAATGCAGTTTTTATGATTCCTTGTTTTTTATTTAAATTATTAACATTTTGCAGATTCTGCAGACGTGTATAAATTTCACGGACCTCAATTGTACTATCTCAGCAGTTCCTATTATACTGCAATATTCAAATCTGTCTTACTTCCACTTCCAAAACAGGAACTAAAGACTTCATCATTTTCCCCCTCTTTTTCTGTTTTTCATCACCTCCTGGTACTTGCACTCCTCTGGTGTGATGCTGTTCAGGATACCGCTCTCCCGGACAGTAGGCTGGTCCTGCCACAGCGTCCTCTGGAAGGAAATCGGACTGCTTCCCAGACCTTCGGAGCCTGCACCCGAGCCGGTGCTGAGCCGCGGGGGTCCGTGATCCATCGGGTAATCGGCGCTCGTCTTACTGATGCTACGGCACACCGTCTGCCGGCGGATCTCCCTCGATATGAAGGTTTCAGTGTAAATCTGGTACAGAAGCTCTGAATTTTGGACAAAATGGAAACAAACATATTGTGCATGGAATCTTTCATTTAAAACAGCGCTCTGTTAAATGACTTGTTATTGAATTAAAGGTGCAATATGTAATTTCTTAATAGTATCCCTCGGCCAGGTCATGTCATTTTTTTTTTAAATGTGGTCCCAAGGCTATATTAACAATTTCAGAGATACCTTTAAATTATATGTTTTTAATAATATGTATAATATATACTGCAATGGGTTGCTTCTAGGTTCTGCTTACGGACCAGAAATGAGCTCCACCCCCAGCCAAAACAGACCTGCTCAGGTCTGAACTCTTTCTCAGACTGCACACATAGATCCAAAACAGGGAGTGGGGGCAGATTCCAAAGAAGGTGAAGACTTACCATAGTCTTCATGGCAATTGCAATTTCTCACAGACAGACTGGGTAGATTACAAACTGCCCCTTTAAATCAATCCCTGCACTGTTTGATCGAACGAACGATTTTGAACAGACTTTTGAAATGAGTATCGTTAATGACACATCATTTGGACAAAAAATGAGTATCGTTAATGACACATCATTTGGACAAAAGCTCTAAACAGTGCGTTGTACGAGGTCTTCCATTTTGATTTACACCACAACGCTGCCGAATTCTAGAATCCGATTGGTCAGAAGATCTTTATATTAACGAGCTCTAATACACCATCGTTTCTATAGTAACAACTGCCACAGGGACTTGTATGATGGGCGAGCTACTGTACTGTACATAAACAAATTAAAAGCATGTGTAATCGTTGATATGGTGACGTTTTCTGTAAGGAGATGATTATTTAATATTTAGGGAAGGAAGGAGTCTCCAGTGTCGGTATTTACAACTTCATTGTTGAGCAGATCATTATACAAACTACAAAACGGCTGCCAAATTAAGGCACTATGAAGTAAATATGGCGCGGTTTTTACATGTAGAATTGATTTCTGTAGGAAAAAACTCGGAAGCATGCATACCTTCCGGCATGTGAGCCTCCATATCGACCGACTTCTGTCGAGTGAGGCCGGTAGATCGTCTGGGAATAGAAGAAAATTATACAGATTGCAGAAATTGTCCATAAAAGGAAGCATACAGTGCTATAATTATGAAGGATGTTATCACCTTTGCTCCTTGTTTTCAGCGTCTCCAGTACTGCTTTGATCGTCTTCACCTTTTTTTTTTTTTTTTTAAAGAAAAGACAAGGAATTAAAAATGACTAATGTACAACGCAGTGCATTGTAACAACCCTCACAGACATATCATTTACGCATGTTTTGTGAAAATGAGCACATTAACAGAAGTCATGTGGCAGGCTACGTTCATGTCTGGTGGATGAAAATAAAAGGAAATAGGTCGGTCGAGAAGGAAGTTTCTGTCCAAAGCTTTACACAGACTCAAAAATAAGCACGGCGTGAGTGCAATAAAACAACAGCCGCCGCTATCACAGTTCCTCAAGTGCTCGTCTATTGTCTAGTCACACTTCTGATCGGTCAAAAGGTGACGATTACTCTTCTAGATACTCAACGCACGGCCGTTCGGCCAAAAACATCAAAGTAAAACGTCTAACTGTTGATATTGTGAAGTTTTTCTTTAGCATTCACGGAAGGGGTCTCCAGTGTCCCAAGCCTAAGCCTAAGCCACATGCCCACAAGTGGATAGTAGAACTAATGAACAACCTTCTTGTCAAGAACCAGTTTTCATTGTATAGGGTTCTTGAGTTGAGCTATATGGTTATTTGGAGATTAAAGAAGTTCTCTATGGTTCATTACAGGTTCTCTGTGGGACTGGAAATGGTTCTCCTGGCCTAAATCTTAAGAACCTTACTTTGGTTCCTTGAAGCACTAACTAAGGGCTTCTTTGAGAAGATATGAGAACTTATGAGATCTTCAAGATCTTTAAAGCAACAGTAAATGGATGGTTCTCTTTGAACTCGAGAGTGCAACTTAAAAGGGTTCTCCTATGGTATCAGGCTGAAAAAAGCCTTTTTGGTTAAAGATTATGATCAAGTTCATGCACATTTCATGATCGGGTTTGACCGTACAAATCTTTTATGAATAAGAGTGAATAAGAATTGATTACATAGGGGTGTTATCTCTTTGGAATCACCTTTACATGTCAGAGAGAGGTTGCTCAGGCATCTGGCCGGAGGAGGTGGCGGTGCTCTGATTGGATGCAGGCGTTCACTGGAACCCAGATCAACAGAAGGCAGCTTTGGGCTCTGGAATGCTCCCGAAGATGAAGATAGCGGAACCCTTCTAGGAACACATCTGCCTTTGGTTTTATCCAGAGGCATCCGAGGTGGAATGGCAGGAGGAGATTTGTCTTGGATATGGATTTCAGGCGTGGTAGAAGTGTTTTGGATTGTCTCTCTGGGAGGAACGATCAAATCGATCGTGGCTTCGTAAATATTCTCCTCCTCTGACGCAGAGTGGGTCTTGGTGAGGAGTTGTGGATGCTGGAGCAAAGAGTTGATGGATTGAAGCACAGCCTTGGGACCGGGGTCGGATTTCCTCCTTAGCTGTCGCTCGATGATATTCAGGGTCGCCTTGAACCTGGTTTTATTCGCGTCCTGGGATTCGTTCAGGCTGTGATCTGATTCTGAAGATGCGCTGTGAAACAGGGCTAATTCTTCGTCGTTGTCGTCACTCTCGCTTTCTTCCTCATTGACTACATCTTCGTCGGTCTGCTTGAGCTCCTCTTCCTCTTGCTCCTTCTCGGATATACGCACCCAGACCAGTTTCATGCCGGGACGCTGCAGGTGACACACGCAGGTGCAGTTCTTCTCACATCGAGGCTCAAGATCTGAGCTCGACCTTGCGCTCTGCTGCTCGAACTCGTTACCATCAGGAGCTGAAAGTGAGAAAAGATCAGTCAAAAGTTTTTACACCCCCGCTCATTTTACACGAATAATGAAGACATTACCGCTATGAAATAAAAACACTGTGCCGTGACCAAAAACAATGTAAACATTATTCCTGATGAAGCTTCACACACTATCAAAATCTTTTCAACCATCTTCATGAGGAGACACCGCTTAAATTTCTCAAATAGGCTGAACCTTGTTGGCTGGAAGGAAAACCACTGGTTTGGGGGAAATTGGCTTGGGTTTCCTCCGGGTTCTCTGGTTTCCTCCTACATACTAGTACATGGATTGCCCCTTGGTATAAAATCAATGTGTGTATTCTCCGCCTTTTGCTCACCACTCCCGGATACACTCCGGACCCACCGACACCCTGACCAGGAAAAAGCGAAGATTCATTCATTACTGAAGATGAATGAATGAACATTTTAAGTCAGAAATAAATGTCTACATGGGTATGTCTAAGAAGTAATGCGATCGCAAACAGGATGCCATAGTTACTGTACACTGGTAAGGCCTAGCTAGTACTGGATTTACTAGAACTGTAATGGTCCCTGTGTGTCTCTACTGGAAATGTGTTGCCTTCTATTGGTTGCAGGTCATGTCTATACCAGGGGTGTTCAATCTTATCTGGAAAGGGCCGGTGTGGGTGCAGGTTTTCATTCCAACCAAGCAGAAGCCACACGAGAGTCTACTGAAAGCCAAGATCAACTGATTACACAGGTGGAATCTGCTTGGTTGGAATGAAAACGTGCACCCGCACCGGCCCTTTCCGGATAAGATTGGACACCCTTGGTCTATACCATTAAAGACCAATTCTGTTAATGGCTTTAATGGTTAGTTGATGGTTTGTAATGGTATTTGTAGTGGAAACCATTAGAAATTCTGTGATTATTACTACTATGGTTAGTAATACTATGGATAATAATTATACACGTTATAAACACTACTGGCAGTCCCCGCTTATCCAAGCAACTTAGAAAAGTGAGAGGACATTTCAATTAGCTATTTTTATCCCCAAATAGCAGTGCTGGGATTTGAACTCATGACCTTCCAATCAGTAGTCCTGATGCCTTAACCACTGAGCTAGCAACCAACTGGCCATTCTTAATCTGTTATTAAAGTCGTGTGTGCATGTTCACAGGCCAGACGAAAATATGACTTCAAATTCTTTCTTGAAAATTGAGGCCCAATGTGTGTAAATCTGTAACTGTCTGCAGTAAGGAACGCTTCCAGTGCGAAAACACTCACCGGAATGTGTTTAAAGTTAAAATGAAAGCTAATCTCCTTCTCAAATCCTTTAATCCATGAGCTTTGTGTAACAAAGAGCAAATAAGAACAAATCCCTCACGAATTCCTTCAGCAAAATCACAATACAAAATATGTACCCGGGGGTGCTTCACTTAGACGGCAAACCCCGTAAAAGAAACATGTATCCGTTGGTATGGCGAACTTTTCCGTATGGAGAAGTGTATTTAACATTTATTTACGGAAGGAGTCTCCGGTGTCAGAACTTTGTAACAGTCAGTAAATGTTGGTTGTTGTTTTTTTTTGCTAGTCCTGAGAGAAGGAAGTGATAGCAGGAACTAACTTGTTTTCTGGATGTTCCACAACATTAAATGTAACTAAAAACGGACAAAAAGTTCACCAATACATAAAGCGTTGTCAGGATGGTGGTAATTCTTCTTCATTACTAAAATATTATGGATTATTTTCCTATAATAGCAAGTAGACATGATTTTTCAGCCATTTTGTATGAGGTGTAGGTTCATTGGATCGAGTACAACTCTGGACGCACGCTGAGTCATTATAAACCTAAATTCACCCTCATTCCTGTTTACACCCCAAACACACACAAAAATCCTCCATTCCTCACCGCCAGCTGCTCAGACTTCCTCCGGAAAAGTCAGAACACATGCAAATATTATTCTTGCCGTGCATTTCCTCAAGAAGTTCTGTGCAATCCTACTGAGAGAACAGATCCACTAATGCATAAACAGTCTACTCCCAAATAAACACAGAAATCCGTTCGGCTGCTTAGGTATCAGCGCACTGGTAAAACATTATCCTGGAAAATGTTTATAGTGAAATAAATGATCCGTTGTATAATAATTACAGTGCAGTACTGCTGAATGCCACTGTCCCAAGATGCTCTGCTGAACCAGACCAACTGGGTGTGTAGCTCCTAAATAAAACACCTGGCACAAGAAAGGTATTTAAATACTACAGTAGATCATAACAGATGGGGTTCTAATTGTCATCATCATCGTTTTAATTTGATTATTATAATTAATTTATAATTAGTACGGCTAATTGACTGGCCACTTTTTTAATTCTAATAAGTCTAATTGACAAGTCTCTAGTTACTAAACTACACCAGTCACGAACATTCATAATAGGGTGTGGTCCATCGCCTAAAGATTTACGAGTGTAAACAACTTTTAATTTTAATGTCCTCCTTCATTTGAAATCTTTTGACCGGCCAACGATTTTAAAAGACGCTGCTCCATTCTCGGAGAAGGAGAAACGAACAAATCAATGGATTTCCACAGATTCTGGCCGAAACGCATCACGTGATGTCATCATGATGTGAGTTCAGCCAAAGCCAAACATGCATACAGGTAAAGGTGCCAACAATTTAGTGCCAATTCGAGTTGCACCACCAAAAAAAAAAAAAAAAAAAAAAAAACAACCTCAAACATTTCTGGGCACAACAATCACAAAAAATCTCATTGAAATTCCGTACGGACCAATAAATAAATAAATAAATAAATAAAAACCTATATAAATAAAAAAACAGCGCAAAAGACCACGCAAAACAATTTCATGCAACTGTGATTTCGCCCAATTCGAGTAGTTCTCCGTTAAAGCAAAAGCATGAAAAATTTTGCAAGCTGCATTGCAAATTTAAAATAAAATAAAAAAAAGCTACAGCAAAATCAAGCATTTGTGGCCACAACAATGACAAGAAAAAAACTCTGCAAACTCCTGCATGGATCACTTCTAGCAATGAACGTAATATTAATGCCATCTCTGTAAGCAATACAGGTGCGGACTGGGACTGGGATCCTGTAAAACCTATAAAAAAAAAGTTATGCCATGACATGTGACAAAGCCGAGCTGGTCGTATCCTCAGTCTGTGGCCCAGTTTCAGTCCTGCAGGCCATAAATCACCAAGCTCATTATTCTGAGAAGCAGGTTCCACTTCCTGTAGTGATCCTGTACATAAAGAATGCCACACTGTCTCTCTCTCTCTCTTATGAAAGGAACCTCCGTTCCTGTTATTAATAATCCCACACCTTCGTAGGACAGGAAGTAGGGCAAGCAGAAGCTGTGAAAGAAAACAGGACCATAAATAAACATTTACTGGGAAGTAAGACAAATTTATGGCCCCATATGTTTACATATCAGAGGCCAGGTCAAGGGATCTGAAATCTGATCTTTCTGTTTCATTATCTAAAAGACACAAACACTGACCTACAGCACAAACCGGCACGGAGGAGTGGGGTTTTATGCATTTCAGGTTAATCCCAGATCTTGAAGGTTTCTTCAGTTTGCGCTGCAGGAGAAACCCCAACACATTCAAGTAGAGCCACTACAAACCGCTGACCCTCTAAAGAACCGTCCAGAAATCAGCTATTTCTTATAGAGCATGAAGGCTATTGAAAACTCAGCAATTCTTCAAGCTTATGTGAATTTCTTAGAGAGTATTGAACTACAGTTTACATTTCATAACATTACATTACATTAAGTATTAATAGTACATTAAGTTGTGTGAAAGAAAAATATTTAAAATTTCTGACATTTATAATCTTGTATCTACGTGGATAAAGATTTTTAAAAGTCGAGGAAAAATAATCGGGAATGTTGGATGCACTTTAATTTATTCAAAAGCATTAAATTAAACATTGAATTTAAAATCAAGGATAATTATTAATCTTGGCCTCATAAATGTCATGCATGTCATGTGACAATGACTTACCTATATATATATATATATATATATATATATATATATATATATATAAAATAATCCTTTTTAACTGTAAGAAAAATCGTTTGTTTTTATTTATTTATTTTGTATTTCTATCAATCATGATCGTACATGGATTTCAAAGGAATATATATATATATATATACTGTAAATAATAATATTATACATTAGTGTTTTTTTAATTATTAGATTTTATTTATTTATTTTTTTTACAAATGTATAAATTAAAACAACAATCACAAAAATATAAATTCTAATATTTGGACTGTTGGCTTTTTTTTTTCATTTCATTCAGAAACAAAAAAGTCAATTTTCTGCTTTTTCATCAATTCCTAATATCCTGAAAATTTTCTTTTGGTGTGATTGTGATTACGGTTTACATAAAATGTAAAAAAAAAAATTAATAAATAAATGTTGAGAAATTTACAAAACAGAAATGTTGTAATTTTCTTTACGTATTATGTGACTTCTAGAAATAATTCTCTTGAATATAAGTATATATATATGTGGATGTTGTCAGTTTAGTACTTAATTTCATCAAGTGATGTGTCGATGGAAAAAAAAAAGCTTTATTTCTTTTAGATTTGAATATTTTTGATAAATACTGCATCATCAACCCTCGTCCCTAAACACGAGCTGGTGAAGCCGCTGTTTGCGTATCCCGTGTCAACGTTAACATCCAGCGACAGGCTTTTAAAATGTCTCCAAACCCACACCAGATGAATTGTAGCATCTGTTGCTCACCTCTGTTGATAAGATCGTTATTATTTGTTTTTGTGTCCTCGTCACGCTTAAACGCCCTCGGCCATTGTCCTCGAACACCCTTAGATCCGGCACTTATCAGTGCTGTTACTTTCTTCTGCACCGAGCTTCTCTGTAGTGACGATCCTCCATCATCCACAGCATCCAGAACGTTCTGTTTAATCTTACTCAGCTTTCTCTTTATGCTCTCAGCCATTTTTACGCCACTCTCACACAAAATAGGAAAGGACGGAGCTACATCGACTGCTTCAGGTTTCTGAATCGCCGAGTTACTCAAGGTTTCAAGTCTTATCAGAGCTGTCAAGGCCAAAGTCACAGCAATAAACGTATAAAACTGCAAACAGAAAGTGGCGTACGATTTACTCGTCCTTACTCATCCTATAACCTGCACCAATAAACTCTATTTAATATTTCATACAGAAATGACCTGTAGATTACTCATAGCTGCACTTTCCCCACTACCATTAGTCTCTCCGTGCACATTAGACAAATATATATATATATATATATTTATTTCACCCCCCCTTATAGACACAATATATAATACTATTCAATGAGAACTACTAAAGCAAGTTAAGACTGATTTAACCATAAATCAATTTGTTTGCAAATAAAATCAAAAAATCAAAACCAGGCCACTCTCAGAGATCTGGACACAGTTCCTGCTTTCCATGTTTTTACGCTACGCCATCAACAAAGCAAGGTGTTCAGACATCTGCAGGACCACCCCGTGTATAAAGGATGTAGTAAACGTTCAGCGCAGGACAGAAAGCTTCTAGAGAAAACATGACGTTTCAAACAAAAGTCTTTCATCGTTAGCTGTATTTCTGAGGCTGTAGGAGGTGGAACCAGTCTCCAAATATGTACCAGCCCCTCAGGCATTTCGCAATCGCAGAAATTTATTTGAAAATTTATTGGAGAGTTTCTGCAGATCTGGGCCGAGACATTGGCATTCAGCCAAATAGCTCTTCGATTCACATGCGTGGAACCGGAGTACAGATAAAAGGTCTCATTTACCAACAAACATGACTGCACAAAATAGTTCTGCACCCTCTTTCACAAAGTAGTTTTCCGCAAAAAAAGCACAATAAAACTCTGCGACTGATTTACTTATACACTCATACTTATATAAGCTTACATACAGCACTTAGCAACCTTTAATCATTTCCTTTTAATACATATTTTAAATGTTTTCAGTTAAATCTGGCAATATGATGACATAATATTACTATTGTGCTGAATTTGATCACAATACACCTTTGAGATATCGAGATGTCTTTTATTCCATTTTTTTTAAAGCAGCTGTGATGTTTAAACTTTCGGTTTACTCTTGAACATTG